TGTGTGTGTGTGTGTGTGTGTGTGTGTGAGAGAGTGAGTGAGTGAATTTTTGTGTGAGTGAGTGTGTGTTTTTGTGTGTGTGCGTGAGAGAGAGTGTGTGTGAGAGAGAGAGTGTGTGTGTGTGTGTGAGTGAGTGTGTATGAGTGTGTAAGTCTGTGTGTGTGAGTATGTGAGTGAATGAGTGCGTGTGTGTGTGTGTGTGAGTATATGAGTGAGTGTGTGTGTGTGTGTGTGTGTATGAGTGTGTGTAAGTCTGTGTGTGTGAGTATGTGAGTGAATGAGTGCGTGTGTGTGTGTGTGTGTGTGTGTGTGTGTGAGAGAGTATATGAGTGAGTGAGTGTGTGTGTGTGTGTGTATGAGTGTGTGTAAGTCTGTGTGTGTGAGTATGTGAGTGAATGAGTGCGTGTGTGTGTGTGTGTGTGTGTGTGTGTGTGTGTGAGAGTATATGAGTGAGTGTGTGTGTGTGTGTATGAGTGTGTGTAAGTTTGTGTGTGTGAGTATGTGAGTGAATGAGTGTCTGTGTGTGAGTGAGTGGGTGTGTGTGTGAGTGTGTGAGTGAGTGAGTGAGTGAGTGAGTGAGTGAGTGAGTGAGTGAGTGAGTGAGTGAGTGAGTGAGTGAGTGAGTGAGTGAGTGAGTGAGTGAGTGAGTGAGTGAGTGAGTGAGTGAGTGAGTGAGTGAGTGAGTGAGTGAGTGAGTGAGTGAGTGAGTGAGTGAGTGAGTGAGTGAGTGAGTGAGTGAGTGAGTGAGTGAGTGAGTGAGTGAGTGAGTGAGTGAGTGAGTGAGTGAGTGAGTGAGTGAGTGAGTGAGTGAGTGAGTGAGTGAGTGAGTGAGTGAGTGAGTGAGTGAGTGAGTGAGTGAGTGAGTGAGTGTGTGTGTGTGTATGAGTGTGTGTAAGTCTGTGTGTGTGTGTGAGTGAATGAGTGTCTGTGTGTGTGTGTGTGTGTGAGTGAGTGAGTGAGTGAGTGAGTGAGTGGGTGAGTGGTTTATATATCCTGGTGGGGACTTAAACCTGACTACACACAGACTCATGGGGACTCGTGTCACGGTGGGGACCTAAATTGTGATCCCCACGGGTACAAAAGCTTATAAATCGTACAGAATTCAGTTTTTTGAAAATCTAAAAATGCAGAAAGTCTCCTGTGAGGGGTAGGTTTAGGGGTAGGGTTGGTGTAGGGCAATAGAATATACGGTCTGTACAGTATAAAAACCATTACACCTATGGAGAGTCCCCACAAGGATAGCAGACCAGACATGTGTGTGAGTGTGTATGTGTGTGAGAGAGAGTGAGTGAGTGAGAGTGTGTGTGTCTGTGTGAAGGGACTGATTGTTAGAGGGAGATCTGGAGATTGAATCGAGCTGATATTGATCAGAGGAGACTGACAGTGAAGACTGTGCTGTGGATCAGATCTGCTGAGACGTCAACCAGTAGACACTTAATTACTTCAACGTAACGAGAACAAAACCTCTAGCATGCTAATAAACACTAACATACAACAGAGGCCTTCTAGTAATCTGCAGTTATCAAGCAAACACCATTCGAAGTTCTCTACAGGTATCTTCAAAAACAACATGTCTAAAATACAGAATCAAGTTATATAGAAATGTTACATAATAAATGTTGCTAGATACAGTATACCATTCAAACGTTTGGGGTCAGTAAGATTTTTTTTTAAAGAAATAATACTTTTATTTACCAAGGATGCATGAAGTTGATCAAAAGTGGCAGTAAAAACATTTATGTTTCTGTTTCAAATAAATGCTGTTCTTTTGAACTTTCTATTCATCTGTGAATCCTGAAAAACAAAATGTCTCATAGTTTCCACAAAATTACTGTGCAGTTTCCAACATTGATGATAATCTGAAGACTGAAGTAATGATGCTGAAAATTCAGCTTTGATCACAGAAATAAATGACAGTTTAACAGATATTCACATTGAAAACAGCTATTTTGAATTGAAAATGTAATATTACACTGTTTTACTGTATTTCTGATCAAATAAATGCAGCTTTGGTGGGCAGAAGAGACTTCGTTCATAAAGTCTTTGGCCAGATGTATAGGTACAGTAGCAATGGAACACAGTCAGGCTGGAAACATTGAAAAACTGCACACAAAACCAAGATCTCTCTCAATCTGATGGCTCAGTTTGCTGGTGTTCTTCTCTCTAAATCCTGTGACAGAGCCGTTCTCAGATCCCAACATACTCAGGGTTTAAAACCAGCTCAACACAGGGTTGCCAGCACAGGATTATCCACTAATGCTTGTTCCCAGTTCAGTGAGTGAAATACTATTCCCCATAATGCCTTGAGCTCATGTTCATGCACACACACACACACACACACACACACACAGAACAAACATAACTCAAACAGCTTCTGGCCTGTTTTCTTCAATGAATGATCAGACTAATCTAACTCATAACAAAACTAATTTCGACTTAATAAACCATTGCTTACTAGTTGTTAGATCACTAGTCTGTGGCTCTTCTTCACACACATTCATCTCTACAGACACATTATCTGAAGATCATATAGCTCAAAATATCTTGTTTTGGTCTTTAATGAGGTGGATGATTCTGTTAATGTCATTTATGTGATGGACGAAATGTGTGCAGCTTAAATAAAGTGATTTGGAGAAATGTAGCATTGCATCACCAATGGATGTGAATGGGTGCCGTCAGAATGAGAGTCCAAACAGCTGATAAAAACATCACAATAATCCACAAGTAATCCACAAGTAATCCAGTCCATCGGTGAACATCTGGAGAAGACAAAAGCTGAAACACATCCAGCATTAAGACGTTTTTAACTCAAATACATTGAGTGCATAATCCATAATAACGCTTCCTCCAGTGAAAAAGTGTTCTGGTGTGAATCAGGAGAGAAATCTGCACAGATCAAGCACCGTTTAGCTCTAAACAAATATGTGGCTGGATTTTGATGTGAGAGACAACAGCAGATGCACTTTTTCACTGGAGGAAGCGTTATTATGGATTATGCACTCAATGTATTTTAGTTAAAAACGTCTTAATGCTGGATTTGTTTCAGCTTTTGTCTTCTCCAGATGTTAACTGATGGACTGGAGTGCTGTGGATTATTGTGATGTTTTTATCAGCTGTTTGGACTCTCATTCTGACGGCACCCATTCACTGCAGAGCATCCATTGCGGAGCAAGTTATCTTGTGATTCATTTCTGATTGGTTGGTTTTTAAACTGAAAAACATGCTGAAACGCCTCTGGAGAAAACAAATGAAAAGCATACTTTCAACGTTGCAGAAAAGTGATCAGCTGGAGCCCATGCAGTCACGAAAGATCCTGAAGATCAGTCTGTGGCGATGCTGAATAAGACGATGCTGGTGCTTTATATTAGTACTACGCTTAAAATTACCCTCCATTATAATGCTGCACAATGACCCAATGATAATAAACAATTACAGCTGTTTCCATGGAAACGATGTGCCTAACGAGCATCTCCTGATCTAATCCTGACGTGTCTGTAGAGATGCGCTCTGACTAATACAGTTAACTAGAGCCACTTCACTGACTAGTAAACAGTGGTGAGTTACTGTACAATCACTTACCCAAGTACGATATGTTCCTGAAGCAACATGCTTGTTGGTTCTAGAACTACATTTCCATCCACCGATAAGATTTTAGGAGTATGTTTATGCGGGACTTTGTTATAACCAACCACTCAACCCATCTTTTTAGTGGTATTTAATGGACTAATGGTTAGGACTATGTTTGTTTGGAAGAACAAAACAAAACATGTCGATCCTAATAATCCATAATAATTATACTTTAATTCAGCAAGGATGCATAAAATCGATCAAAAGTGGCAGTAAAAACATTTATAATGTTTCTATTTCAGATAAACGCTGTTCTTTTGAACTTTCTGTTCATCTGTGAATCCTGAAAAACTAAAATATTGTGCAGCATGACTGTGTTCAACATTGATAATAATCAGAAATGTTTCTCGAGCAGCAGATCAGCATATTATACTGATTTCTGAAGATCATGTGACACTGAAGACTGGAGGAATGATGCTGGAAATACAGCTGCGCATCACAGAAATACATTACAGTTTAACAGATATTCACAGAGAAAACAGCTATGTTAAATCATAATATTTAACATTTTTTACTTTATTTTTGATCAAATAAATGCAGCCTTGATGAGCAGAAGAGACACATTAAAAATGTTACTGATCCTAAACTTTAGATTAGGGAACACATATTCCCTAAGAGTTTCACTTCAATAAACTCCTAACTATTATTGATAGTAAATAAGTTAGTTGTTGTAGTAGTTATGTTTAGGCATTAGGTTGGGATAAGGGTCATGCATTATTATGTGCTTATAAACAGCCGATATGCTAGTAATATGCATGCTAATAAGCAACTAGTTTAGTGAACAGTGTTCCCTAATCTAAAGTGTTACTGTTGTCTGCACTAAAGTGAGGTATTTCACAGTAATGCGTTTGTTCACCTGCTCCTTGATCTCCTGGAGTTTGTTGCTCTGTTCTCGGATGTCATGGAGGAGCTGGAGAGCTTTATCATCTTCCTGTGACACTTCAACACGAGCCTGCTCCAGACTGCGCTTCAGACTCTAAACACACACACACACACACGTCTGTTACGTTGAGATGCAGCGGCGGTTGGAACGCAAGGTCAGAACAAGCGTGCCAAGAGTGCTTTTATCAGCGGGTGTATTTGAATTAGAGACAGAACATCAAGAGAGCGCAGATATGAAATCGAGTCAGTTTTGCTGTTCTAGATATAAAACCATAGATACGTCCATCAGAAAGTGTGTACTGATAAAGCCCTGCTGTCAGAGTGTAAGTACACACTCCTGAGGCCAAGAACTAAACAACTAGCAGTTAGCCGAGAGATAACCAGCCTTGCTTTCTGATCTCAAATTAGACCCATCTAGATTTCTATTTCTAGACTTTTGACCCATTTTATGTTTAACTTACTAAGATACTAAAATCACAAGGTCTCAATGTTAATGCAACAATAGTGAATAATGCTAGTGTGCATCATCAGAAATGTTTCTCGAGCAGCAGATCAGCATATTATACTGATTTCTGAAGATCATGTGACACTGAAGACTGGAGGAATGATGCTGAAAATACAGCTGCGCATCACAGAAATACATTACAGTTTAACAGATATTCACAGAGAAAACAGCTATGTTAAATCATAATATTTAACATTTTTTACTTTATTTTTGATCAAATAAATGCAGCCTTGATGAGCAGAAGAGACACATTAAAAATGTTACTGATCCTAAACTTTAGATTAGGGAACACATATTCCCTAAGAGTTTCACTTCAATAAACTCCTAACTATTATTGATAGTAAATAAGTTAGTTGTTGTAGTAGTTATGTTTAGGCATTAGGTTGGGATAAGGGTCATGCATTATTATGTGCTTATAAACAGCCGATATGCTAGTAATATGCATGCTAATAAGCAACTAGTTTAGTGAACAGTGTTCCCTAATCTAAAGTGTTACTGTTGTCTGCACTAAAGTGAGGTATTTCACAGTAATGCGTTTGTTCACCTGCTCCTTGATCTCCTGGAGTTTGTTGCTCTGTTCTCGGATGTCATGGAGGAGCTGGAGAGCTTTATCATCTTCCTGTGACACTTCAACACGAGCCTGCTCCAGACTGCGCTTCAGACTCTAAACACACACACACACACACGTCTGTTACGTTGAGATGCAGCGGCGGTTGGAACGCAAGGTCAGAACAAGCGTGCCAAGAGTGCTTTTATCAGCGGGTGTATTTGAATTAGAGACAGAACATCAAGAGAGCGCAGATATGAAATCGAGTCAGTTTTGCTGTTCTAGATATAAAACCATAGATACGTCCATCAGAAAGTGTGTACTGATAAAGCCCTGCTGTCAGAGTGTAAGTACACACTCCTGAGGCCAAGAACTAAACAACTAGCAGTTAGCCGAGAGATAACCAGCCTTGCTTTCTGATCTCAAATTAGACCCATCTAGATTTCTATTTCTAGACTTTTGACCCATTTTATGTTTAACTTACTAAGATACTAAAATCACAAGGTCTCAATGTTAATGCAACAATAGTGAATAATGCTAGTGTGCATCTATTATGGATAAGGATGCACAATATCTCTGTGAATCACAAGGAACTTCTTTGACTGTTTTCGTATGTCGAGGAAGCGCCCGATAATTTTAGATACTCTATCTGTAACTTCACATTCTCAGTTAGTAGTAATGGCTCTTGCTTTATTTTTTAGATGCATATGAGTTAATCTACAGTGAGACATTAGCTGTGTTTCCATTCAAAGTTGTGAACAAAACTTACATATTATTGCGTAAAATATTTGCAAATAAACACAGTTTCCATCCCGTGTGAAATCTTACTGAGAAACTGGTGCAAAGTATCAGTAATAAAATAATCAGATTTGCTGCAAGTCTGTGATTTCTTTCCCTACGTATCAAATGATTGTGCCTCAGAGCGTGTAGGTGAAACACAATAACAAATGCTGTCGTGTTATCTTGCATTTGGATGCCAGATGTTTGGGACGCAATTGTGTGAGACGGTCATATCAAATCATTTTGATGACAGACTTTGGTTCAGGCATTTCAGAACGACTAAAACAACATTTGAGATGGTGTGCGATGAGATCGGCTGCTGGTTAGGAATTTATTTGGTAAATGTATATTTCCATTGTAGTTTATGTGCATGTTTTCTTACTGAATAAAAATATGTATCCGTCTCAACTGTGCACATACATTTCTAGATTTTAATGCGCATCTTGGTGTCTCCATTTGCATTTGGGGGATCAAGATCCATGGAAATACAGCTATTGACATATGTCCAGGAATGACTTGGTTAGCCATCTTTCTTGTGCGGGACCAAATAAAAAATAAATAAATGTAATTTTAGGAAAATAAACAAATTTTGATTAATCAAATACAATAATTTTTTTTATTACATTTAGTCTTAATTACATTTTTGTATTACTTGTTTCCTTTATTTTCTGTATTTATTTTTTAATTTATTTGTGTATTTATTTATGAATAAATATTTATGCAAATAAATGTGACAATATTTAAATATGGAAATAAATACATGCAGGAATAAAAAAAAAAATGAACGCATAAATATAAAAATATATTTTTTTAAATCAATGAAAGAATTAAGAAAAATTTTAAAAGTTAAAATTAAATAAAGAAAATAAAAAAAATTGGGGGGGGGTAATAAAAAAAAAAACTTAATTTATTAAAAAATGTATTGTATTTGTTTTCTGCAGGCTTGGACCTCCATACTTTTTACAGTACATTGTTTTGTTTCTTTCTTTAAAGGGGTCATATGATGCTGTTAGTAGTTGTCAAAGTAGTTTCGCTTTCACAACGAAGCACACAGCGTCTTCACGACATGGCGACGGCAGCAGCAACAATACTACAGCGAGAATAAAAGTTACGCCTTCTTTCTTTGCGTGAACATTTGGGCGGCGTTATGCAAATCTTCCCACATAGTGATGTAGACATGTGGGGGCGTGTTAGAACGAGCCGTTTTAGGTAGGTGTGGCTGACTCTTAACTTTTATAAAGAATATCTCTTTGGATTTGAGACTTTAGTCTTTGCAACTTTACAGATCTTCTTTATGCACCAAGAGCTTGTAACACTCCAAAGAGAAAGGAACAATTTAAATCCTGATCATATGACCCCCTTTAAATCAATGCATCCCTAATTTATTGGCCTCTGTGCCAAAATATCCCACTCATTTAATCCACAGACTGCTCGTCTCTATAAATAAAGTGTATTATGATTAATGAATGACTATTATTACACTAGAATGAGAGTCTGAGCGTCACTCACGCTGCATTCGGTGATGTAGGTGGCGAGGTCCTGCTCCAGGATGCTTCTCTGGGTCTCGGAGGCTTGGAGCTCCACATCCTTCTGCTGGAGGACTGACTCCAGGTCAGTCATCTTACGCTGAAACCGCGAGATCTCCTGCTCCATCTGAGCGGCCACAAACACAAGCACCAGATCTAAATGCATTTTACAGCAGCGCTCGGACAGCGCTAACACAACCACAACCACGAGCTCACACACTAATGACCGTGACTCTTTCATTTCTCAGAGCTGTGTTGACAATAGGATTGGGTTTTGACACAAATTTCACGATTCGATTGTCATTCACAAGCTTGCGATTCGATTCAATATCGAATATTTTGGATATATATCAGGTACAGTACATGCCAGATTTTCTCAAGGAAAAAAAATCTCTCAACCAATGCTGTAAAATATGCATAAGAGTCATTTGGTACTACATTACTATAATATTAAAATTAACTGATTTGTTAAAATTACACTAAATTAAGTTTTAAAAATAAAGTTACAATTATATAATAATATTTCTACTTCAATTTGTTTAAAAAAATATATAAACATAATGGTGGCTGTCATAAAAACTTATAAATTAAACACTGAAGAACAGGACAATTTATAATGAATATGTTATATGGTGCATATATTTAGCAAAATGCCCCTCTCCACAGTTTATTTTTCTAGCTGACTAATGAGTTTATGGTCACCGAATATGTTTTTCTGGGGGGAAATGTGATGTTACGTGACATTATTTACAAGCCGTTATATTGAGGTGTTTGCGTGGCTGAAACACTGAGAGATTACATGAGACAGGATACGGATTGTAAAGTTATACTCTTTCTTTTAACTTAGCTTCGGATGTTTAGTCATGTTTATTTTGTGCTGAAACTGGTATTAATGTGGAGGAGATGAACAGTTCACGTCTGTTGATCTGAGGCGCTCCAGCGATCCGTCACTTCACATTAAACAGCGCCAAAATACCATTTATTATTTGAATACTGCAATACAATAGACAGAATTTTAAATCTGAGACTTTGTTTCATATTAAAAGTACCAAAGCACAATGCTTATTGCGATATATTGGATGGGAGGTGCCCTTCAACGTTCGGTCCATTAACCAATAACAGGCTAGACTAATCGATTCTTGGGATTTAAGAATCGATATCGTTCCGTAAAAATGAGAATCGATTAATATTGAGTTATCGATACTTTTTACCCAGCCCTAGTTGACAATATCGATTTATCAGTTTAATGAACGATATTGATTCTTAAATCTTTTAGCCATTCAACAATCACAAAAACAGCTTTGTTACTTTTGATATGAAGTCTGAGCTTTAAAATGGTCATTTTTATCACGAAATTCAAACGATAAATGCACCAAATAAACCTGAATGAACATCAGAAGGTTTTGAAAGAAGCAGAACAACTTACTAAAATAAATAATTTCTCATGTAATCGATCAATCAGCGTTTCGGCCGTGGAAAGACGTCAGTAAAACAGCGTGTACACAAAGTGTTACGTATAAAGTCACATATACCTCAGGAAAAACATTTAATGACCACAAACTCGTTAGTTGGCAAGAAAAAATACATCTTGAAGAGCATTTTGATAAATATTTGCACCATATTATATATTCATGATTTTTTTTTTTACTTAACCTGTTGTTTAATATTTAATGTATGCTTAAAAAAACAAACATCAAATGTTTTTTTACTATAGCCACCGTTTATTTCAACAATGAATTGGAGTACAAACATCATTATTCCATTAAAAATTATTATTCTAAATGTATTGTAAAAAACCACCTTACGTGCAATGTAAATGTTTGTATACAAATCAGTTATTAATTGTAACCTTTAATATTACAGCAATTAACCAAATGACAGGTTTCTATGGAAGCTTATTTCCATCACATCATTTAAAAAAAAAAATGTAAGCGGTAATTCAGATTTTTTCATCTCATAATTCTGACTTTTTTTCTTGGAATTCTGAGTTTATATCTCATAATTCTGACTTTTGTCCTGGTGATATTTAGCAAAACACACAATTCTGACTTTTCTTCTGACAATTGCAAGATAAAAACACAGAAATGTGAGATATAAATGCAGAATTGCGAGATATAAACTCACAATTCTGAGAAGTCGGGAGTTTTGAGAAACAAACGCAATTTTGAGTTTTGTGAGAAATTGCAAGGAAACATGTCTAAATTGTGAGACAAAAAAATACTTTTGAAATTTTTTATTCCATGGCAGAAATGGGCTTCCATAGGGTTCCCTGTATAGTTTGCATGTATTGTAAATGTATAAATGTACCTGATGTATATCCAAATGAATCAATAACAAATCGAATCAAGATTGGAATGGAATCGGAATGCACGTTTGTGAACTGAAATCTAATCGAAGTGTGAAATCGGTCAATACCCAGCACTACAATTTGTAAACAAGTCGTCTTGTGGAGATATTTTGAAACTCTATTCTAATGTTGATCCTGGTGTAATACATCGCCATCCATTGCACATGCAATACGATGCTTGTTTGTTAATGCAGTTTAACTTGCATTAAATAGCCCAGTTTATTACCTCAGTGTTCATTTGGACTGTTTCTGTGCTCTTACCTTGTGACATTTGTCTTGAGTGTCTTGCAGTTCTTTGCTTTTGAGGTGCAGCTTTTTTTCCATGGAGTTGGTCTTGGCAGGAGAGTTGAGCCCTGTGCCAACCGATCTGACAACACAAGGAAAAACACGCCGAATCAGAACTATAATACACATGCATATGTACAGTTATAAAGCTCCATGATAAAGCCAGGAGGAGTGTGTGAGAGGTTGTGTTTTTCCTGGGAATGTAGGGAATATCACACATGCATGTCTGCTCAGCCTTTCACATTCATTACCCACTCCATTAGTTTCATGTGAATTCATTCATTCAAAACCAAAGGACATCATCTTTATGTGGCGTCCATTAATTAACATGACATAAATGAGACATCAGGGAACACTAACCGCAAGTGTCACAGAACCATAAACATCCACAACGAAATGAAAACGGAGTTATATTTGTCTCAGATTAGACTGACGGAGATTTGTCATAAAACGCATGCAGTTCAGCATTTGAGTTCATTAGCATGGACAGAGAGAGGGTCCACATCTTATCAAGACAATCATTCACTTTACAGTCTCTCGTTTCATAATACAACGCTTCTGTCTTGCTCAGAGATCTGAACTCTGAGATCTCTGCCTCTGCCATTAGACATCGGCTCATTGCAGCTAAAAATGCTGAGGAGGGAAACACACACACACACACACACACACACACTCGCGCTGCTAAAGTGCTGATTATACCAGAACTCCAAAGCAGGCCGGAGGGTAATAACACAACAACTGTCCTTCACTTCCATCCACGTGTGAGTTTGTTTTGAGTTCTGCACATTTTGAAATCAAATTACTGCGGTGTCCAAACTGGACCATAATTACTCTTTTTAACAGCATAATTAACCTGCGCTCTTTCATCAGTGTGTCATGTAAAACAGGAAGTTGACCTCTCTTTATGGAGTGAATAATGTGCCGAAATTAAACAAACAAATCCAGTATTTTGCAAACAAACTTGATCTGCTTTGCAAAGGAAAACTCGACTCGCAAACAAACAGAAAGCATCATAATTCACAAATACAAGCAATCCTACGAATTGCATGTAACCTTTGAACAAATACCAAATTTAGTGCATGCAAATGCTGGTCTGTTTTGATTGTGAGACACTCGCATCTGTAAGGCCGTTCGCGCAGCACATGTTCCTGAATCCTGTCAGCAAAAATCAGTGCTGTGCACCAGAACCAAACACTCGGCAGAAAAGCCCATTAACTGATACCTAGTTTCATGAGTAAATACATTGTGCTGCACTACACTGTCAGAATAAATGACATACACACAGTTGTGCGCGATTCAGATTTGAATTAGAATTGAGGTTTCAAAAAGGATGCAAAACTGTAATTTCAATTTCAATTCATTGTAAATCTATTCACATTCAAATTCAAAGAAATTGGTAACTTTACAATAAGGTTCCACATGAACTAGCAATGAACAACACCTCAACAGCGTTTTAATCTTAATATTAATTTCAACATTTACTAATATTTTTATTTTAAACATTTGTAAAAAAAAATTAACATTTATAAAAAATAAAATAAAAAAAGTTGTATCTGTTAACATTAATGCATGAACAATGAACAATTGTATTATTAACTAACATTAACTAAGGTTAATAAATATAATATAAATATATAAAGCTCATATTCAATATAAATATAAAGCTCATATTCAAAATTCATGGATTGGAAGCTAAATTAATTTTGCACTCTGATAAACCCTAAAATAAATAAATAAATGACAAAAAAAAAATCATAGTTGTTAATTTAAAAAAAAAAAAAGTCCAAATATAAGTCACTTAATGTTCGATTGACTCAAGAATTGCTGCATTCAGATCAAGTTAGTGAGTTGAACAACTAGATTAGTGAACATTTATGATGAATCAGTTGATTGGGTTTACAAATTATTATTTTATGACTTAAATTTATATCACATAAAACTATCATATCATATAACTTCAGAACACTTTTACGTGAACTACTACATTGACAATTTAAGTCCTTAAAAAGAACAAAAATATATGCAAACCCAAGACTGAAATTAAAAAGACCGTGGAGACAAAAATTAAAGTAAAACTATAATGACTGTTTCCACACAGGTTTCCCAAATACTCCTCCCACCCCTTTGACTCCGCCCTATGTCTGCCATTGGTCGGTCAAACTGATAGACTCCTCCCACACTCACTCCACCAACTCACAATTAAATTACATATTTCAAATCAGCACAAAATCTGAAATGAACTGCCGCATGAATGTTGTTCCTTATGCTTAAATAGCGTTAAAAAAAGCGTATTTTTCAGTCTAGACTAGCCAATGCACATGCGCAGTCATAAGTGCGAGATTCAGGTTTCTATGGGAACCGGAGCTTCTAACGGCCGCTGCATTGATGCAATGGCTTCTCCAATCAGCGATTGGCTCTTTCATTTACAAGGCGGGACTATTCCGCCATATTGCACGTTGCAGTTTCTCCCATTCATAAGTATAGGAGTGAACCGTCTTTGTATATCTATAGTCTTTGATTGATACAAAACAAAACAAAAAAAACATGTAAAAAACATTTACAACAATATTAGAGAGAGAGAGAGAGTAGAAAAAAAGATAAACCAAAAAAAGAGCAGTAAAGCATGGTGCTTGCAACGCCAAGATCTTGGGATTCAATTCCCAGGAAATGCATGAAATCAAATAAAACTTTATACCTTGAATGCAATGAAAGTCGCTCTGGATTAAAGCGTCTGCCAAATGCATAAATGTAAATGCAATCGAGTCTACTTTCACTAGTCTTGGTACCAACTACAGACATTTTAGATAGTATTATTTGTCTCACATCTGTGCAGAACACAAGGGCTCCAGAAGAAGAAAAAAACCCATTCATTTCCTCCATAGAGGGCTATAATGTATAAAGATTCATCACGAGCTCTGAGGAACATTCAGCTTCTGTAGAGACATACGTCAGCTTCATTTTATGACCATCAATCAGGTTTGAAAGCCAAATTGCTGGTGAATACACAACAACCCATAATCCGACATCCAATAATCGGAGAAGTCGCTGTTACCATGGAAACAGAAAGAAGGCTCAGTGGTGACCGCCCACTCCCATGAAGCAATGCGGCTGATGTAATCCAATCAGTCTGCCTACACTCACAAACTACTCGTTTACTATATTTATTTCGAATGAAAGTCCAATTTTATACATTTCAATATTTTTCAATCGAACGGTTGTTGCTGGTTTGATTCCAACATAAGTCGTGTGTCATGGGACGAGTAGTTCATTAACCTTAAGCACACTGTCTTATTTTCAGATGTTCAAAGGGATTCTCTTCAGAGTTGGTTGGTTTGGTTCATTTTTCTCTATTGAAGAACATATTGAAATCTCCATGAATGTAAAAAACACTTCTGAAATCAAGACTGCTGGACAAACGATCAGTGAGGAGTAACTTACCTAAAACTAAATCTGAAACTAAAATTAAAACCTTCGGAACTGAAATGAGATAGTTGCTAGTTGCCAAGGCAACATTTCTCATTTTAATTTAGTTTACCTTGATGTACTAAAATAACTAAAACTGGAAAAATACAATAAAAACATATATAAATAAAAAACACAACAAAATTACTAAACCTACTAACATTAAAATGAAAAAACTTTAAAATATATTCAAAATATTTAGAAAAACGATAATAAATATTTTGATATAATAGTAATAGTATCCACCTTATTTTTCAACACCGAAGTAAGTGGTTTTCTGTGAATGTGCGAGACTTCCGGTTCATTAGTAGAGAAATAACCAGAAGAATAACAACGTGCCGTAAACGGTCAAACTATTTGCACTACAAACCAGTGTGTTCATAATTAAGATTAGTGCTGGGCGGTATGACCAAAAATATATATTACGGTATTTTTCAAAATTATACCGGTTTCATGGTACATGACGGTATTTTTTTTCATGCATGAGCGGGTGTTAACCATATTTTCTACTGATTGAGAGGAAATACTGCAGTATATTGACTCAGAATGCCCTATTTTACTGTCATGATGAGTGAATATTGTCAAAAAATACCACACTAAATAGTGACTAAACACGACCCCTTTTAATACATGTTAACCAGGAGTCACTCATTTATAATCGCGGCATCGTCTGATAAAATCAACATGCATCTACACTAAAGAGCGGCTATGCGGTTGTTTTGGCTAGATTACTTTTTTTGTCTCGTGCAGCGCACTGCCTGCGTCTGAGTAACAAACTAAAAAAAACAACAAACAAAAAAGTGCATGTGATATTAACAGACGAACTACGCTCATATTTATAATTCCAAACAATCAGTAAGCGACAGGTGCTAGGAAACGCTGTTTTGGACTCATTTATTGAGGAGTCGGCTGCGGTGCTTCTCTGCCGCTCGCTGCACAGAACAGACGCCGAGAGAAAGTTGAAAGTTGCTAAATCTAGTGCTAAAGTCACGCTTGCGTGTGTGTGAGACGCGGGAGCTGATGGCAGCGGCGCTGGATATTTGTGGAGGTCAATGTGGATATTGTGGATGAGTTCTTCTGCGTCATCACGTTCTATTAGTTCTACAGCTTCCTGATCCTGGGAGAGTAGACTACAATGCCGGCTGTTCTGACTCAAAGACTGTAAGTATGTTTTTTATATATAAAGAGTTTTTATATTTTATATATTTAAAGCGAGTTTTTTGGGCAGTGTAGAGTAGCACTTGTTGTTTGTCATTTCTCCGATCACAAATGCAGACATGGTTTTATGTTT